AATACAGGTATTCCTTGAGCTGGAAATTCTGAAAATTATGCGATTTGTCATGAAAATGTTCGTTTTAAATTTTACTACCACATAAACTGAGGAGTGAGAAAAAATTTATTAAAGAACTTAGACAATTTTCGTCCAATGTAGGCTTATTATTATTTTTTAATAAATTTATTTGGAGTCCTCGACATGCAATTTTTGTATAATCGAATTGATTTTCCAGCAGAAACCTCAAATACTTACGTAAAAGAAAGTGTTATTTTGATTTTTTTTTTATAAATAATTGAGTTTTCAGAGAAGTCTATTAAATAATTTGTAGAATAATTGTTATTCACTACTAATAAGAAGAGTGACGACGTGGCGACAGTTAATTGCAAATATATATGTGTGTATGTATGTGTACGATAATACAGCTTATAGTGACTCACTAGTCACGTATATACACCACGAATCGCCGCGCACGTGTTCAACTATAAGCAGTTGAACTTGAATGGGTTATTGATACTGTAGGGTTTACTGTATGGACTTATATAGTAATACTGTAGTAACATGCACTGTATACAGTTTACAGTTTACATATTGAGACATGAAAAAAAGTTATATACCAATATAATACGTTTACAATTTAGTACACATAGTTAAAAATTACCTCGGTAGCTTGATACTCAGTACCTGAGTGCTAGTTACGTACACCATTAACCCATACATATGCGATGTGATTCGAAATTCAAATGCGCACTATACGCACCAGTGTACTTTGTAGTGGCTGCCATTAAACAAGGAGAGAGTACTTAGGCCATATGCATACCCGTACTACCATATCCCGTCGCATTCCGCCGCGCCACCAAGCTACTCTCTTCTTCTCTACTGCCGGTCAATGCAATGCGGGCTTCCCCTCTCCTCCCGCGCATCTCGCCTAGACATTTATTCTCTCGTGCTCACACACGACTCTCTGCAGGGATCACTTTGCTTTTAAATGAGAGCGATCTGACGCGAAATTATGAGTTTTTCCCTATCCGAAATCGGCTAACACGCCTAAAAAAGTTTTCACTTCAAAAATCAGTGTTTGAATGAACACTGATTAGAATAATCATCATGTTTTTTTTTTACGTGTTCAATACATTTTTCTTATATATTTCAAAATGACAGAAAATGATATGATAAAAGTGTGACTGACAAAAAAGTTAACCGAGCATACTATAAAAATTATTTTTAACAAACAGTTTTAAAGTTTACGCCTCTGTTATAATACTTAGCTAATCGTGAAAAATCAGTAAGAATACTACTTTTGCGGAGAAATTTCTACTGTACTTTATTTTTAAAGTATCTCTTAAAAGTATTGAAAAGCTAAACTCTCTAATCTGCTTAATAGGCCTCTCTTCACGTTTTTTCCGTCTTCTGATAATCATAGTAAATAGTTACACTTCTTAGAAACCTGTGCCTCTAAAGAGATATCTTGCTTATAAAAAAATGAAAATAGATTCACATATGTCAAGTATATTTTTTTATATGTTGCATAAATAAAATGGTACTGTCAATTACCGAGTTTTCATAGATATCGTAGATCGCTACTTAAAAATACCTAAGCCAAGCAATCTTCTCAAATCCAATAAACTTTCGTTTTTATTAGATAGATTCATAAAATCATAGGTAGCATAAGTTATTTAAACAACTTTTTAATCCTAAAAATAAACGTATTTCAGAAATTGAAGGTAAATAATGTTAATACATTTTATTAATACCTAAATATTTCTATTGTTAAAGTAGGAATAAGATGCTTGTATCATAGTTCTGTCTTTGTCAGCTTCTATGTCTGACATTAACCTGTGAATAATGACATCAGAGAACTGACAATAATGTTCACGTTCCATAACAAGAGCATACCTATTCTCTTTTTCCATTACATACATTCCTGTTTCAAGAATTACAGATTTGATGTCAGAAAAAACTTAAGGTTCAATGGCTAAATATTTCTTGTACATATCTATGTACTCAAATGTGCAATTGTTTTTCTGTAGTTTTGTGCGTGTGTGTGAATGTGCACGCAAATGTGAAATATACTTGCACGTCAGTGCGTGCACGTGTGCCTTAGGAATATTCTCGTTTTAAAATAAAAAATGCGATATAGATGATTACAGAATTCATCTGACGATATTGGTGTGTGACACAGCTAATCCTATTATTCATAATATCCTGCATTAAAATAATCTTATTCTAAGCGGTTTTTTTGCAAACAACTGTTTCTTTTAATAAACATGCATATCTTTAATAGTGTGTGCGTAGGTACATGCAACTACGTGCTTATTTATGTTGTAACATATATTCGCAATACTCCTTATTCTATAATAAATAATAATCTTAAATAATTATAAACTTAATATTAATTTGTTTCTTACAAAATATAACGTAAGTTAAATTAATGTGATGTTTTTTGTTCGTGCATTACTTTTTCACCTTCTTCAACTCCTGTACCTGACGCAATGAACTGACAATTCATCTAATCTTGCAATTAAATTGCTTCTCGTTTTGGCAACGCAATTATAGTGGATCTACCCGAGATAAAAGGAAATCATCGTAAATTCCGTAACCTCGTCACCAGCTATATAGGTAACTCCATATTTCTGTTTTTCTGTTTGTCTGGCCATTTTTTTGCAGTACTAATTAGAAGATGTAACCATATTGTACTTTAAAATTTTAACTTATATTGCCTATCATTATCATCACCATCATCATCATCATCATCATCATCATCATCGTCATCATCATCATCATCATCATCATCATCATCATCATCATCATCATCATCATCATCATCATCATCACCATCGTCATCATCATCATCATCATCATCATCATCATCATCATCATCATCATCATCATCATCATCGTCATTGTCATCATCGTCATCATCATCATCAATCACCATCATCATCATCATCATCATCATCATCATCATTATCACCATCATCATCATCATCATCATCATCATCATCATCATCATCATCATCATCATCATCATCATCATCATCATCATTATCGTCATCATCATCATCGTCATCGTCGTCGTCGTCGTCATCGTCGTCGTGGTTGTCGTCGTCATCTTTATGTGTCATGTTATGATCATTATCATACTTTTTTATTCCCATCTTTCTGTGCTTTTTTAATTATAGTGCTCATTTATTTAGTTTAATGTATTGAAATCCTCACATATTTTTGTCACCTGCAAAATAGATTTTTAAGTATTTTTTTATTTTAGCTGAGTTACCAATTCTTTTTTCTTCTAATTCTAATAAGATATATGTTCTAACCATTTGTGCCACGTTGAATTTAAAACTAAAACAAGATCAGTGAGCCCGAAAAGACTATTTTAATTATTAGACTTCATAAAAAAGTTATGTTTTTAAAAGAAACACAAGTGTGAAAGCTAGCAAAAAATAATTAAGCTTTCAAATGCAAGATTTAAAAGAAACCTAGACGAAGCTTAGTAATTACTATTTGAAACAAAGAAGTACGGTAAGTTAGACTGTTAGCAATTATTATTCATTAGTAATGGTTACTCCTGGATTTTTTAATCTGCAAAGTAAAACTGTAAACAACTTTAACCAAAATATGTGTGGAGTACATAATTATTATGTATTTGTTGACTAGAAATATACATCTGAACAAGTCTATTAGAAACCAAAATATTATACAGTAAAACTTACGCAAACATAAAAATTATATATTCTGGTATATGCAAGAAATAAAACAGTAATGCAATCCTTTTATATAACCAAGGTTTTAAAATCGAACTATACTATAATTTCATTTTCTGACGTTCTGCATAACTTTGGTTCAAAATGGTTTTGTCTGTGGACAGCTTTGATTTTTTAAAAAGTTTTCAATGAACTATTAAGGTAAAGTACCCAGTAGTTAAACACTTTTGACAGTCGAAATTTTCTTTGTTGATTTATAAAAAACTAACAAAAAATGATGTTAAAAAAAACATTGCATTAATTATTTTAAATTTTTTTTATTTATTAGAAAAAATTAAAAATATCAGCTTAATAAACAAAGAAGAAATTAATATGAAAAAAAAATCATCAAGACCCAGTTTCTGGACACCAGTGTCCAGGTACTGGGACCAACATGAGACTTGGGACCAGTAGTTGGATACCCCATGTTAATTAATTAGAAAGGAGGTTAGGGTAGACGTAACTTCAAAATGCTTTCTCACATCTCTCAACTACTTAATGATTATAATCTTTTTTACTACATGGTATAGTTTCTGGCCATCATTAAACTTCTTTTTAGTTTTCAACAGTAACATTTACATATTATATTTAGTATTCATTAATAATTTTAAGTGTTTTCTACTGTCCAAGTACCAGGTATAGAAAAAATCTTATGTTATCGAATGCAAGCTATTTTTGGACACAGTTGTTTATATTTTTTTAGTAGTTTAACTCTGATAAACATTATTAAAAATTATAATAATATCTATGTTGCAACGTCACTTTAGTTAGAAAATAACTTAAACGTTCTATGCCCAACTATAAATTATAATTTTTAACGACTTTTTCCGTGTCCAAGTAGTGAGCATAGGAACACTCCTAACTTATTAAAGGGACCTATTATTGGACAGCCAGTTTACATGCTTCGCATTGAAAACATATTTTTTTACTTAAAAATGAAAAAGAGCTTTAAAGATAATTTTTTTCATCAGGCATTATTATATGAATAGATTATAAATACATTTCTCTTTCCTATTTAAAAATGTCTTGTATTCGAGAATGTTAATCATATTAGGCTGTCCAACTACTGGTGCTATTTTTATTTCTGCCCAACTACTGGGTACTTTACCTTACTTACAACTTCAAAACCTAATGAATTGGATGTACATTCTTTATTTATTTTTTTATATTCTTTGTCTTTTTCCCAGGAATTTTTTAGAATCATACTCTTAGATTTTGTTTATTCCGATGGTTGATTTTTTTCAATATGTTTTCTGATTGAACTTTTTTTCTATAAACATTTAAAAAATTTTTTTTTATTACAATTTAAAATTTTGCTTACCTAAATTGATTCTTGTATCTTTTTTATTAAATCTTTCATTGCGATTTGGACATAAACGTCACTGCTTGCTTTTGTTCAATGCCGATTTTTTAAGAAAAATTATGTTAACAACACGTTTAAAGCTTTGATTTTTTAACTTATAACTAAAAAAACAGAATTTGTAAGTATTTTATAATTAAATTGCGTTTTGCTAATCCTAAAAAATACAATTTCATCCTAAATTATACAATGGCACCCTAAATTTAATGCAAAGTGGTGGCCTGCAAAAGTATGTATTTTGACCTGAATCACACTTATCTCTATACTACTGCACAAGCATTCATGGAACTTAATCATTACAGCCACTTGAAATTTTGCTTGCAGCAAGAATATTAAATAATTCTTGGTGTTTTTTTATAAATTGTTACTATCAATTCAGATAAAAAAAACTATGTACAAACGGCCCGACTTAGATATGTGGATGCTTTTACAGTCGCATTTATAAATTTTTCCTAACGAATTTTTTGAATACCTTATAAGAATGAAAAATAAATTTAATATAATATGATTTCTTTATGTATGAAGTTTTAAGTATACAACAAAAAAAAGTAAATGATATTAAATTTGTTAAAGATTGTTTGTAGAAAACAATAATTACATTCGGACAATAATAAAATTGCTTAAGAAAAGTTATCCTAATGACAAAGAAAAAGAAAAATAAGTAGAATAACCATTTTTCAATAAGTTTTAAAAAATTTATGAGCAAAAAAGTATCTTTGATTGAAGAGGGTAAATTGATATCGATTTTTTTTTTTTTTTAGTTATTCTAAATGATATAAAAATAAGATAGTAGAGCAATAATTTGTCAAATAGCCTCAAAGATAAAACATTTTTTTTTGGATTATGGATCCAAACATTGTTTGTTATGGATGAAAACATTGTTTTTTGCGTTAATTTTTTGTCTTGATTGTTGAAAAGTGAAAAATTCTTTAGAAAATCAATAAGGATATAAAATTTTACTTGAACAAAGTTGTTGAATTTGAAACATGACTTTTCGGAACAGTCAACATTATTGGACCATCATGTAATGCAAAACGAATACAATTTATTAGAAAAAAACCTAAACAACCGTAATGGTAATATAGAGGAGCGTATCCCGAGTCCGAATCATCGTAAGAAATTTTTTTCAATGATTTGTTTTGATTAAGACACGTTAAAAATTGTTTGATTTTAGCCTAGTAAAAAAAACTTTTTAGTAGCACAACTTCCCACAAAGTGTAGTTTTTTTATGTATAATCGAGTTCATAGCAGCGAGTTTTTTGTTGCTAAGTATTCCAGAAATACGTCTTGAGTGACCAAGAGGTGACGCACTAATTATGTTGCAATGCGTGCAGTAACCGATACATACTTAAATCATAGAATAAAGTATCTCTCTTAGTATAATTACTTGACAACGTATGCAAGTAAGACTGCTATAATTCAGCTAACACGTAAGTTCTTATTTTATGTGGAATAATTGATCATTACAAACAGTAAACTTGCAGCAAAGTCCAGTACTTGGCCAAAAATTAACTTGAGAGTATTTTGGGCAATAGTTGAACAGTAACAACATGTTACTTAATCATCACATAGCTTGTACTTAATTAAGTTTTAATCAGTAGTTACTAAGTTATTTCTATCGGTTACTTAATGGGCATTTAACGGATACCTGCTGTAAACTTACCAGATACTTGACAGGTACTTAACTCACACATGTTTTTCTGGTGGGAGTAGAAATACATTGACACACACCACTAGTGGCTCTACTCTGAAGTAATGCTAACGCAGTTCCAAGTTACAATTACAGCCACGTGGCATGGGGTAGGGGTTTACTGGGTATAAGTGGTCTAATCAAAAAAACTACTGAGTCCCATACTACCGCTGTCCCTTCGGTCTGCATCAAGGCATTCCCCCTCCCTCCACCAAAAAAACCTCTACCACTACGACCTCTAACCCCTCTACGGTATGCGTAACCTTGTCGAAACTGACGGTATACCATCCCACCGTGTATAGAAGTAAGTGGAAGCTATGACATTCTTCTTAGATACATGCACAACACTCTCACTGCATTAACACAGACATACTCACAAGTTTTTTGAGGTAGCAATTGGTGGAATCTCTCTCTCTCTCTCTCTCTCTGGCTAGTGTAGAGTGCCTACATTAACACTTACTACACACAATCACTACTCTTACACTTCTTATAAAACGCCAGGGACAGTCTCCGAGGGTGGGGCTGAAGGAGCTTGGCGACTCCCGGGCGGTTTGAGCAAGTAGCATTTTTCTCTTGAAATAGAGAGGGCTGCTGCTTTGGTTTGAAACCTTTCTAAATTTTTATTTTAGGAAAAACAAAGGGTAGTGCTGGCCTTCACGGGTCAGCACGTCACTCAAAAAAATGCAAAAATGAAGAATGTCCATGCAAGACAAGTACCCCAGGCGATAACCTCTCAGAGGGAGTCCGCCGGCAGTTCCGATCCGGTGAAAGCCTGGGTGATTGTTGCAGGCCCCACTAATTCTTGAGGGGGGGGGGGCGCAAA